TTACTTAGCTTGCCCTAGCCCATTTTCATTCTTATAATAAAGTTATATTCTATTATTACTTGATTTTTAAATGTGTCTGGTCGTAAATTCGAAGCGAAACTTCATTGCTATACAATCAAAATTATGATCTTTCAGTTTGAGGTCTGTGTAGTACATATCATCAATACTAGCTTATACCTTATGCATAATTTATATGTATAATTTGTTTAAGACACGTATTGTACAACCTCTATAAGGTGCACATATAATTTGTTTGTAAATTGATCATAAATATAACTGCCACACATGTATAATAAAAAATTTTTTAGCCACGTATATATTATTTTTTCTGTAATAATGAAAAATCCAAATAGCGATAACGCATTAACAAATAAAAAAAGACACAATTACATTGAAAAGTGGCATATATTTAGAGGGTGGAAGCACGGGTGTAGGGTTTGTAACGAATGCAATCACCATTCACACCTATATTGCAAAACATGCAAAAAAGTTGCGGATGGAATATATAGGCGATGTGAATGTGATAATTTTAAAAGAAAACCTTGAATAGTTAACATTTAATCAGAATTATACATACATAATTTGTCACTTAACAAAGATATTCATTAGAATAATTCCGGATATAAATTGATCTGTATCACCTTACAAGGCTTATCGTTATGCATAACTTATTTGTGAGACGGGAATTAGTACTTAACCAAAGTCGGTCAAATTAACTCATGAATTTATTTTGTGGGAGCCTAACTCCAGACCGAAACCTAAATGTGTATGTACTATGGAGTATCGAGTCCCTTTAACCTTATATGACTCTATAACTCGTGATGCATATATTTACATAATTTATAGAATTCTTTTGCATCATCAATAGAATTTTCTCTGCGTGGAAATACATACCTCAACTTCTATCGTAGAAATTTTTGATGTAAGAGCGCATGTTTTTGCTTCTATCTAACCTTTCTAACATTTAGAGTTTCGGAGAAGAGATGAAAGAAAAAAATATAAAAGGGCAGTGTCTCGAATTTATTGTTATTTGTCGCTTTATAGTGATTCAGTTTTCACACATACACTTTTCCTCATATTTTTTTGTATTTTCAAACCATGTCTTCAATAAGCGAAATTGATTTAGCAAATGAATCTTTGTGTAACTTTTTAAGAAAGGCGCCTTTAAAACGACTTACCTTCTCCAGAATTCTTCATGAACAGTGGAGTTATTTCAAAATTCAAACAGAAGATTTAGACTGTGAAAATCTCAAGATGTTACTGCAGAAAGTGGAGCAAGAGAATATTGACCGTGAACGTAAAAAACATATTAAGTTGCTACAAGATAATGAAAAGGTATGAAATAAAAATTCCAATCTCTGTTTGACATATGGAATGATGATTATAGCTGTCAAACCATATCTGCATACAATGCGGTGGAGTAAGTGGTTAATTGCCAGCGAGAATCCGCTTCATTGTGATGCTATGTGTAGGTTATTTGACAGCAAATTTTTTAAGGGCCCGTTGATAGTTCTGACTAGTGGGTTCTTATAATTAAAAAGATAAATTCCAAATGCATTTGGTAACCCACTATTTTTTTCAGATTCGGTTTAGTTGGAAAGAACTTAAATCATTGGCAGAAGATAACTTATTACGAGAAAAATTTGAAAAACAAATAAATTGGAAAGACCAAGCTTCAAGTAACATAGCTAGCATTAAGGATATAATCAAGGTATTTTATCAGCGAAAATTTGAGATAAATCTATTCTTTTTAACAGTAAACTCTTTTTTTAAAGGACGAAAAAACTCAGCCGCATGAACGTCTTATTGCTAAATTGAGTGGAGTGGGCGTTAAGAAGTTAACTTGTAATGATCCACTAACAAATAATGTAATTGACTTAGGCGCAAATTATCTTCAAACCCCAGATAATGATTACAATGTACTTGCTGGTGAAAGAGCTGGGATACGAAAGTTGAAAAAGGATCCACTTATAAAACACACATGTGCCGAATTTGTTAAGAAAAGAGATGAAGCAAATAACTCTTATAAACTTGTACTTTCGCAATCTGAAAAGGTGGTACATGATAGGTGGATTGAGGAGAATTATGGTCGAGAACGTATAGCCAGGAATGTTACTGATGTCCTTTTACAAGAGATGAAGTCGAATGCACTTCATAAAGTTCTTAGAAGTTCTGAAGGGTCTAAGGTAGAAATTGTATCTCGATTAATAGATGCCGTTATGTGGCATTTACCTCTCGAATATGATGTTGAAGTAACGAGAGGTAAACGGCAGAGTGTTGCTAGTAAAGACCGAAAATTGCAACATAATAGTAACGCAAGAGGAGATAGACCAGATCTCATGATTCAAGCTTTTCTCCGTCAGAAATTGCATATGTTGAGAGTGGCAAATGGGAGACTACTAATAAGAAAATCTTTGATGATCATAACAAATTAGTGAGACTATCCCTTGATGGGTATCACTACCTCTTAAAAAAATATAAAAGAGAGATTTTACGTCAAACTTTTATAGGATTTGGTATTAATATAGCAGGTGAGTATATTGTTATCCACGGACTGATAAATGAGAAGGGAGTCAATTATTACCTTCCAGTAGCTAGGGCAAAAATCCCTCTAAGTATGGAAACAGTTGATGAGGTTGAGGATTTTGTTCATGCTCTATTAATCCTGAGGGTTAGTATTATTTTTATGAAACGCAAAGCTAGCAACTTATTAATATCAAAATTCTACATTTTTAGAACGGAATAATTGTAAATTTACAAAATATGGGGAATAACTTTTAAAAAATTAAAAAAGATGATCCTTGATATAAGAGAATTAAAAAATACAGATTTCTAAAGTATATCTTTTATATTTTTGTTCTGTTATTTTATTTTAAATATCAATAAAGCTTACCCTGGTGGCCGATTTCAGTGTATATATAATCGCGTTTACTTTGCATGTGTATTTCGTGGATTTATTTATTGTATTATCGATGTATACTGTATTAGCCCGCATATGATCGAGAATTTTTTGGTAAAGTGATAGAGTATGAAATTTTTTCACGCAGACATTGGTCCGCAGGCAATATTATAGACGTCATGTATCACGGGCTAGGTCCCGAACAATTGTATTTATTTTTTGCATGTATTAATAAAATTTTTTCTTGGCATTTTTCTGAGACGGCCCGTCCCGGAAAATTTTTTGGTATTTTTAAAAATATTGAAC